AGCCTGCTCTTCCCACATCATTTGAGAACACATGAAAAATTAACACGTTAAAACGAGACAATGTTCCGCAGTGTCAAGGCATGCTGTTCCCAGGAAACAGAGAACATTATACCAATTGGCACTGTTGGGAGGGGGAGGGAAAAGGAACAACGACCTGCTCTGGCTCTTACACGCGTCCGTCTCTACTTCCGCATATTTGAGAGTAACAGGCAGTGTTCACCTATTATTGGTGGCCAAATTTGTCAGAGTGCAATTTTATTGGACCAAGGCGGCTGATGAAATCACACCATCACCTCCGTTCAGTCCCGTGCCTTTATTTGTGATTGATTTGTTTGGGGACAGAAAGTACACAGACGGTTCTGCGACTGCCTATATAAACGGGTGGACAAATTGCAGTCAGTCCCTGAGAAGAGGTAGACGCGCTCGCTGGAACAATAAGTTTATTCGCTCGACTTTTAGGATTCTCAGTTGAATCTCTCATTAAAGACAGCTAAGGATGATAGAAGTACTAGTTACCGATAGAAGCGAATATGCGAGTTCCAGGAAGCAGTTCAGAAGATGGAATCACTGAAACAATAATTTTATTCTCCTGACGTTTCGGATTCTGCCGAGAATCCTTAATCATAGGTAAGTGTAGAATGGTACGATACATGCACAGATTGCACGGTATTGATAGTGCGTAGTGATCATCCGCATGGGCACTATAATTATCAGCTCCTGTAACCACCGCTTGGTGTTGTAATTGGTGCGGTTATGGCTTGACATTTCGCTTTCGAGTCATTAATTGCCGCGATTTCGCTGTCCATGTCGGATGCGGGCTTGATAATGGCGCGAAAATTATATCCACTGTCGTCAGAGTTGTTGCTGGACCCGGCCCTTCCCACGTTACTGATTCTCCTACTCATGCAACGTCTCAGTACGCCGTATGGGAACAGCAAACCGTTGCGCTTTTTCATTGACTGTGGGTAGAACCATGACTCGAGCAGCTCGCGGCTCACGTGGTTGTCACCTCTTGCGAGAATTTCGGCCTCTTTAAACTTGAAAATATGGCCGGGTCCCGTCTTTCTTCCTCACCGCCGCTACATGCTCGGCCATTCGCGTCCAGAGTAAGCTCCCGGTTTCTCCGACGTAGTTACTTTGTCCACAACTGGATCAGATCCGGTAAACGACTCCAGCCGTATCCTGCCGTGGCAGTGGGTCCTTCGGTCTCCTGACCTGCCAACTACTATAAGCAACGGTCACCGCAGTCATCGCTGTTGGTCCGAATTGGTGCGATTATTGCTTATTCGCCAGTGTTGAAGTCGTTAAGCCCACAATTTAATTGCCTTTTTGATGGCTGGATTGATACTTACGCCACGAGAACATTTTCCAACTGGCACATGGTGACTGAATGCGTCTGTGGAAAGTGACACAGCGCTGGAGAACAAGTTCCGTAAGTTGTCCGATTGGAGTGCTGTCGCCCAGCATGGCTGATAGGCCGTGCAACTCACTTCCGAAGGCCGAAGGCGATGCACTAAGGGATATAAGGGCCGATGCAGGAATCATAATCATGTTCGCGGTAAAGAGACGTTTCACTGGCGTATTCAACTCAAATAAACTACTTTTAGAATGTCAATAGCTTATCGAAGCATTGCCAGTTCTTTATCTTACACGAAACCAACCCCCGTAAATTTTGACAGGTGAAATCATTCTCATATTGCTCTTTAGTGCTTTCCGGTTATTCGTCCAGCCTTGCTTAAAAAACACTTGTTGACTTTTAAACGTATCCTCCGAATGCTCTCTTCAGCTGACGGTGTGTTTATGCTTTTTAGCTGAAATTACAATATAACGACACTCTACAAAAGGCAAGTAATTTGCTGATCATATTTTTGATTAGGTTTCCATCCACTCCACTCTACTGCGAAGCCTTCCCGTACTATGCGCCAAAGCTTCCAGTATATGACCTGCCGTACATCGGCATCTGTATTTCCATTCCTAGCATGTTAACATACGTGTAAAGAAACGGGAATCCAGAAGCTGAGATTGGACCTGCCTCCATAACAGATCCGTAGTTTAAGTAAACCTTTAATTTCGTGAGTACTTGGTTAACTTATACCGTAGTTTCGGTGAATGAAGTCATTTTTGCTAAGAATTTTGGATGCTACCTTCAAAATAAAGTGCATTTCCCTCTCTACTAGAAACGCTACGCTGTTTTTTAAGAGAGGACTGGGATGCAATATCACCGAGCTAAGTACGAACGGGACAAAGTATCGGGAACTGTAAGAGCGTGTGTGACTGCACAAAATTATGTGCTCAGATACCACAAGTTATAGTTGTTGTGTTCTGTTGTGATTTAATATAACTGATGTATTTTGAAGATGTTCTTTGGAATATAACGTAACTTTAATTAGTGAATTTTCGAGTCTAGTGGCACAAAAACAGATGGCTACTTTACGCACCCAGCTTGTAGACCCTAAGAATAATGTTGGCTACATTTATAAAAAAGAAGTCATCTACAATATCCCACGCGGAGGTTGTAATACTTTATATTGTGGCCAAACAGGAAGATCCGTCTCAACACGCATCCACGAGAACCAATTGGCCGTGAAGAGACGTGACCATTTGTCCGAAGTGGCTATGCATTGTCTCGACAAAGGACACACCTTTGCATGGGATAAAATACGCATTGTCAGAGTTTTCCCCTCCAAAAATGGCCGAGAATTCCCTGAGGCCATGCACTCCAATGACTCATGTAGCAGCCAGCACATACAATTAGATGGCAGTTGTGAACACTTCAAAGAACGGTGGAAGAGAGAAAGGCGACACGACACAGACTAGCTGAGGCCACACCTACCAGTCAGGTCTCACCCCGTATAACTATTGATTTTTCCGCATGTTTGAAATTTCAGTTGTTCATTGCACGTCTCCTGTTAGTCCGAAGACGAGCTGGGTCACCAGACTCGAAAATTCACTAATTAAAGTTACGTTATATCCCAAAGAACATCCTCTTCTTCAAATTAAAATTTCTTGGGATGCGTGTTTTCCAATTTATACGGATAACTGATGCATATTTGTTTTCTTGCCGTTGTAGTGTCCTAATTTTCACAGTGAGAGCCCTATGAATCACACGGTTAATTAACGAGGCCTTTTGAGCGGCCTGATTACTGTGACAGATAAGATAGATAGAATAGAATAGATAGATAAGAATAGAATAAAAGAGCAATCATCAGCTTAGCCGCTTCATCCGCTCATTCTGCAGATGGGAACCCAGATGGACATGTGAACACAAACAGGATCAACGGCCTGGAACGACAGCTTAGATTTATGACAGCTGCACAGGCGCGAACAGCAGAACCCGATGGGAGACCCCTTGACTGAGGTTAATCCGCCTCAAGGCGTCGATGATTGATTGAGCATCCCCTCCCATGTCCCGGCCCCCTTCCTTTGCATTGGCTTAAACCCTATTGACTATGATTGTCACTTACTATAAATACTTTGAGGCGTGGTACAACTTCCACCTTTGATGACGGAGGTCTGTACGCTTTTGAAACGTCAAGACGATAAAAGAAAGGTTCCCGAGATCGCCTTATCTTCTCATATACATATATATATATATATATATATATATATATATATATATAAGAATATATAGATAGAATAGAATAATAAATAGATAGATAGAATAGATAGAAGAATAGACTAAAAGAATAGGTAGACGCTGTTACAGGCATACAT